CATAATATGTTAGATTATGGAGTTCTTGCGTATAAACTTCCAGCATATGTTGGAACTCCAGCACACAGAAAGTTCTAGCATAATATGCTGGATTATAGAGCTTCTGCGCATAAAATTCCAGCATATTATGTTGGAACTCCAGCACATTATGATGGAATCTCATATGTTAAAAATTCAAACTTCAGCATATTATGCTGGAGTTTTTTTCCGGATTTTTAAGGATATTTTTGTTTAGATTTTATCTTTACATAAAAAGATGGCTAAATTTCGATTACGTAAAAATTGTAGCTATTTTTCAATTCAATTGTAAATTTTGCTATTTATGATTTTTTCACTTGACCATTCCCTCATATTGATTTTAGTCGGTAAATTTTTTTATTCACCTTCAACATTTACCCAAACCAATAAAATGATATATGTCTTGGAATATACTTTTATTACGAAATTATAATTAATTAATTGCATATTCTTATCTTAATTTATAATTTAACCCGGATAAAATTATAAGATTTAGTATAAAGATAAATTTTTATCATTATTAGGTCATCTTTCTCTTTCAAAAATAAATCTATAATAATAATAATATCTGTCGTGATACATATGAAAGATTTTAAGGCGGTCAGGGTCAATTACTATGCTCATTAGAGCAAAATGTTCAACTGCTCTAGCCAGAAATTGTTGATTTTACCTACTGTTGATACATGTATTTGGCTGCTAGCTAAACAAAAATTAAGTTATTTGGACAACATTTGTAAAAAAACAAAAGATTGATTAAACGGTCTATGAAAAAAATTCAAATGTGTATGGACTGTAGTTTACACGTTTTTTCTTTGATTCTTGAGATATATAATCAAAAAGATTCTTCGCAAAAGTTTCTAGGAATAAATAAGAGAAAAACAGATTTTGAGTCCTAAAGAGACTAACAAATGGATCATGTACATAAGGGCATGCCTTTCTTCCACTTACGTTTGTTTGGATGGTTGTTATATATCATTTCATAATCCATTGTATAGTGTTGTACTGTATTATTTTGATGTGTATAATATTTGAATAGATTGTATTGTTTGTCATCGTTTTATAATGTTATGTATCAACAATATAAAGAATAAATTTATAATATTATATATAAAAAAAGAAGTAAGGTACAAGATAAAATTATTATAAAAAAGGTAGGGTAAAAGATAAAATATGATTATTTAATAATAAGGAAGGGCAAGATAAGAGAAAAAATAAGGTAACAATGCGACCACACCATGTCGGTCGTTCCATAAAGTGACACTTTTCGTTGTTATGAAACGACGAGTTTAATGATATGATACAAAAAATTTAAATAACAATTAAAACAAATATTGTATTTAAAGTAACAATACGATACAATACAACAAGTAACAACCATCCAAACAAGCTGTTAAAAAATCAATAGCCACTATAAATTAATTTTAGCAGCTCAAATATTACTGACGTTAAGCTAAGAATTGTGGTGGATGAACAATATATTTCTATTCTTAACCAGATTTTTGAGGTGCAAGTCTTGAGAATAAAGTTTTTTAGTGGATAGTGCTTTCCTATTTAACGAAACTTATAACAAATTTAAATTAATGGAGATAAAAATAAATAAATATAAACACCGAATGAAAAACAAAAGAAAGACTAACACTTTATGTGAACTAATTCAAAAAAGAATGACAAAAATTCATAACATCTTAAAAATTAAGCACCACAAATATAATTTCACCAATATTTTTAAACCATTCAAAAAAGAACTGCTTAATCTTGTTACTTACTAAGTATTAAATTAAAATTGAGATAAAAAAACTTGTTAGATTAAAGAAAAGGTCCAGGTAATCCAACCAAAAAATAAAATAATCACACTATCTACCCTAATTAAAAAGAAACTTTACAATAATGATAATAATATACTTGATAGTTCTTGTGATTCAGATCTAAATTCTACAGATGAAGTCCACATGAAAAACGAGGAAATCTTTCTCCTTTCATATACATGCACCTTTCACCATCTTCATTTCAGCTTCTTCAGGTAACTCTTACTTCCATTTCCAATTTGCTTTCTTCAACTTATTTTCCTTTAAATTTCCCGTTTCTGGCCTTTTGTTTTATATTTTGTACAAAAACTTATATAAACCGCCTTCAATTTTTTTTTTCTTTCCTCAGAATTGTAATTGGTGAAGTGAATCTCGCTACTTGACTACTAAAGTTCCCATTTTTGAACGATTTTCTGTTTTTCTCTTTGCTAATAAAAGTACCATTTTGTTCCAGAATTAGTATCTGTTTTTCATTTTGTCGGTCTTCTCATGATATTCCAATTCTTGAATTTGTGGTTTAGGGTTAAAAATTTGAACTTTTTGAGAATGGAATTTTTCTAGGGTTTGCCAGAGGTATTTCATGATTCTGGGAGTGCTCTGTCATAGTATCCCATCAATATTTGGGTTGGTGTAGGTTTTGGATATGAATTAAAGAATCAATTTTTAAGGATAATTCAAGTGTGTGGAATTGGGGATTTTTGAGTTGTTTAATATGGGGGAGAAACTTTTTATGAAGGAAGAGGAAAGGGTTATTATGGAGGGAGTATTGGGAAGAGAAGCAGTAGAATTTTTCACCTGGTCAGCTTCCAATAGCATGCTCATGGAATTTACTTCGTCGAGAGGGGATTTGGGCGTGCAGCAATCGCTTTGCAAGATTGTCGAGGGGTCTGATTGGACTTACGCAATCTATTGGCAAGTTGCAAAGTCGAAATCGGGGAAATCAGCTTTGATATGGGGTGATGGACATTGCCGAGAAGCAAAGATGGGACAAAGTGAAGGCGGGAATGATTCCGAGCATCAGAAAATGATGGATGGAAACAAGAAAAAACTTGTTCTTCAAAAGATTCACACTTGCTTTGGAGGGTCAGCAGATGATAATATTGCTGCCAAGTTGGATTCTGTCTCGGACGTGGAGGTGTTTTATCTCACGTCAATGTATTATATCTTCCCTTTTGAGAAGCCTTCTAGTCCTTCTCAATCATTTAATTCTGCTAGATCAATATGGGTTTCCGATGTAAGAGGTTGCTTAGAACATTTCCAATCAAGATCTTATCTAGCAAAGTTGGCTCGATTTGAGACACTAGTATTTATTCCGCTGAAATCAGGGGTCGTGGAGCTTGGTTCTCTAAAGTCAATTCCAGAAGATCAGAATTTGATTCAGACGGTGAAAACATCGGTGGTGGTATCTAATCCTCCACAACCTAAAGCAATTCCAAAGATATTTGGGCGGGAACTCAGTCTCGGTGGTTCTAAGTCGGGTCCCATCAGCATAAATTTTTCTCCGAAGGTGGAAGAAGATCTGAGTTTTGCTACAGATGCTTACGAAGTACAAGCAGCGCTAGGTAGTTCTCAAGTTTATGGAAACTCATCGAATGGGTATCGAAGCGATGAAGGTGAAGGGAAACTTGAATTAGATGAACGGAAGCCAAGAAAAAGAGGCAGAAAGCCGGCCAATGGGAGAGAAGAAGCATTGAATCATGTTGAAGCAGAGAGGCAGAGGCGCGAGAAGCTTAACCAGAGGTTTTACGCTTTAAGAGCAGTTGTTCCAAATATCTCAAAGATGGATAAAGCATCGCTGCTTGGAGATGCAATTGCATATATCACAGATCTTCAGGCTAAAATTAGGGTTTTAGATGCTGAGAAGGAGATGGTAAACGACCAGCAAAAACAGCAGGCTCCCCTGGAAATTGATTTTCATCAAAGACAAGATGATGCAGTTGTAAGAGTAGGCTGCCCTTTGAATGCTCACCCTGTTTCTAGAGTTCTGAAGACATTTCAAGAACATCAAATAGTGGCACAAGAATCCAATGTCTCATTAACAGAAAACAGTGAAATCGTCCACACATTCTCTATACGAGCTCCTGGTGGTGCTGCTGAGAATTTGAAGGAAAAGCTCACAGCTGCTCTATCCAAATGATTTAGGTGTTTAAAAAATAAGGTTAGTTATAATATGTACGTTGTTTGTAGTATAATGCAAGCCGTTTCTCATTAAAGAACTGGTGATCTATATCGGAGTTTGCAGATGTTGTCCTTTCCTCGATTCGTCGTGTATGGGCATCACTATCTAGCTTGTAAATTTGCATTATATTTTGCAGACTATATACTTATATATGTTTAATTTGATGAGAATCATATCTTCAATGAAAATTTGACGGAAATACTAGCAGCTGCTCATTCCGACTGATTCAGGTATTTCAAGACGAGATCACTCATGCTATATATGTTGTTTGTAGTTAATGCAAGTTAATTTCTTGTTAACGGGTGATTAGTATCAGAGTATTCAGATTATTATACTTTCATCTATGATTGGTGTATGAGCTTCAATGTGTAGCTTGTCAGTTTGTAGAGTAATATCTTCTTGCTCCTTTACTAATTGAGGGAATGAATCTGGAATCAGTCCAATCTAGCAAATTGTGCATTGTAGTTCCTGCTATCCTTATGATTTTCGTTCAGTATGCCAAAACTAAATGATGCGACTTTCGTCAAACCAGTGTTCAGATTGCATTTTAAAGGATGGCATCTGAAAATTATGCAGCACTGGCATTGACAGAAAAATTATAGGTGCATTATCATGTCAATAAATTCCAAATATCATAAAACAAAGACAATTGATCAACATTGTTCTTTTTATCCACTGTACCATAAATTATGGTGTACGGTAACATGTACAACAAAAATGAAACAACAGAAATAATTGAACCTACACCTATTGTGTGGAAGACTCTCACAGTACATTAGCCTGTAAGTCTTGAATTATTCTATGTTAAATGTATGAATTAATTGAATACTATTACACATAAGGAGTTCTTGTTGTCAGATGTTCATAGTAGCTTTTGATAAGCTTATTTCTGAGACGTAGCCACAAACACATCAAAAAGGACATTATTCTGAGGGGATGCATTAGTAGGAGGAAGAGCAGGCGCAAAAGCAGCTTCTTTACGGCCAACAAAGTTTCTTTCAGCGACTCTGGTTGTCATATTGACCACCAGTTCCGGGATTGAGTGATGGAGTTCCGGGATTGGGTGATGGAGTCTTAACTGGGGGACGAGTTTGCAAAGATGTTAATAGAAGATGACTTGTTTTATCAAAAGTTCTTGTAGCTTCTATACGACCAACAAAGTACCTTTCAGTGACTTGGGCTGCCATATTGACACTAGCATTGGTTTTCGGATTGGGTGATGGAGTCTTAACTGGTGGACGGGTATGCAAAGATGGTAATAGGAGATGACCAATTTCATCAAGAGTTGTTGTAGCTTCTTTACGACCAACAAAGTTCCTTTCAGAGATTCTTGTTGCCATATTAACACTTGCACCCGTTTTTGGATTGGGTGATGGAGTCTTAACTGGGGGACGAGTTTTCAGAGATGGTAATAGAAGATTATTATTTTCATCAATAGTTCTTGTAGCTTCTTTACGACCAACAAAGTTCCTTTCAGTGATTGTGGTTGCCATATTGATACTGGCACCAGTTTTTGGATTGGGAGATGGAGTCTTAATTGGGGGACGGGTTTGCAAAGATGGTAATAGAATATAGCTACTTTCATCAAGAGTTCTTGCAGCTGCTTTACGACCAACAAAGTTCCTTTCGGTGATTCTGCTTGCCGTATTGACACTGGCCCCGGTTCCTGGATTGGGTGATGGAGTCTTAATGGGAGGATGAGTTTGAAAAGATGGTAATAGAAGATGACTAGTTTCATCCAGAGTTTTTGTAGCTTCTTTACGACCAACAAAGTTCCTTTCAGTGATTGTGGTTGCCATATTGACACTGGCACCGGTTCCTGGATTGGTTGATGGAGTCTTAACTGGAGGACGGGTTTGCAGAGATGGTAATAGAAGACGATTAGTGTCATCAAGAGTTCTTATAGCTTCATTTGTTTCAATCCTTGAAAGAACTAGAAGAACAAGAAAGAGGAGGAATGGTTTCATTATACTATTAGAGCTGTTGATATCAACAAGTGTCATGTTAATGTTGTTTGCACAATTGAATATTGAATATATATACTAAAATAAGGGTGTTTAGAAAAATTGATGAGTCATTGTGGACAAGTATGTGTATTTATACCACATGAAATCTGAAACTAAACAAGTTTTTTTGTGACTTGTAAAAAAAATCAAGTCTTTGTTCTTTCAGCACAGTTTTCTTTTTGGTGGAAGGCCTCTGACCATTGACTGCTTTGAGCATACAGAGGAACTTAGGAATTGAATTTGTCTGATGTAGAATCAATCAGAAAGTGGAAGTCACTCAACTTTTAACCATAGGCTTATTTTGTTATGCACAAGCTTAAAAGTGTTACTAAGGTTTGTTATTAATATGGTTTTAAGAAAATGTAAAAGGCCAAAAATGCCCCTAACCTATGTAGATTTAACTTATATATGTCATTCATTAACCTATCGGTTCGTAGAAGCCACCGCCGTTAAATGGTTTCATTGTAGAAATTAATTTCGTGGCTAAAAGAAAGAATATCCCCAATATTTTTGACCAAGATAAATTCAAAATTAACTCCATTTTAACAATAAAAGTATTAGGGAAAGTTGAATAATTTTCATTGGCTAAGCTTATTGATGGTATGAAGTAGTAGAAATTATTCTATATTCCATAGTGAGCTACATAGAAAGCTTTCTCACTAGAATGAGCTTTTATTTTATAGGAATTGAATTCAGATGGATAAATTTGTCACGAGGTTGGACCATTCTCAACCAAGTCCTAGTTGTCAATCCTTGAGCCAAGCGAATGCCAATGTTTCTCATCTTATATAGAGCGTGATGTATTCACAAATGTAAGTAATGATGTCATTATGGATCGTTTTCAAAATATGAAAACTCGTCGAGGACAATTGTAAATAGATGATGTATATTTATAATATTAATATTATTGTTGGAAGTTTTATGGTTGCGTCAATTAGTTATAGTTATTATACTTTTTTCGTTTGATCGATTTGTCTATATAAATAAAAAAAGATGAATAACCCGAACCGACGCCCGAGTTGATCAAATTGATTAGCTTGGCACCCGTAACCTCCAAATCCTGGATCCGCACCTGATCTTAAATACCTCTGAAAGACTTGATCTGAAGAATGTCATACATCAATCAATAGGTTATCTCCAATGATCTTTTGTTTAGCACCAGCACAAAGAATAATGAAATTTTTGGCGATTAAATTCACAACTAGGATAATTCAAAATTTTATTGTAAAATACTGAGAAATTGCGAGATAGTCCATTGTTTAAGGGACAGTTCCACAACTGCAATATCCTATGCAGACTTGCATATCCATACTCTTAGGCAGAAAATTTGCTCAATAGCTTCGTGAATACAACCTCACTTTTGGTAGAGGAGTTTCTGTAAAATATTTTTCACCCAGAGTTGTTGTACCTAGGGAGACTCTTGGGCTTTTAATATATTGATGATTCTGACTTTTGAATGGCACACGTACGGTTATTGTTTTAACTCAATTTTTTGGGACTCAAGAATAAGAGAAAAATCTAAAAAAAGGAGAAAAAAGAGAAATGTGTTTCTTAGCCAAAGAGAGGTACCAAGTCATCACTCTTAGTCCTTCCTTTACATTTATATATTTATATATAGAATATTGATTGATATAAATATATGGGTAGAGAAAAAGAAATTAAAATATAGGATTAATGAAAATCAAATCTTAATTAAAAGAATACAAAGATATTAACACCATTTAAAAAATTCCGACATGCACTACTAGTAGGAATTGTGTTACTTAAGTGGGCGTTTGGACATAAGAATTGTTAAATTTCGAAAAAAGTGAATTTTTTTCCAAGTGAAATGGTATTTAAAAATTAGAGTTGTGTTTGAACATGAATATAATTTTAGGTTGTCTTTAAATTTTTGTGAGTGATCTGAAGTGAAAATTTTAACAAATAGCTTTTTTGAGTTTTTCAAATTTTCAAAAAATTCTGAAATTCATCTTCAAGTGAAAATTGAAAATTTCATGGCCAAACATTAATTTCGACAAAAAAAAAGTGAAAAAAAGGAGAATTTTTTTATGGCCAAAGACTTCACGATGAAAAGCGAATCCAAAATTTAAACTTTATGGGTTCAACTTTTAAGGTTTTTAGCATTAGACTCATTATATTTTTACAGTTATGGATTCATATCGAATATTTTTGTAATTTTAATAAATTTTTGCTTCGCATCGAAAGTTATTGGTTAAACCGTCAGTATAACATTACATTCGCCCATGTTCACGACTCATTCGTCATTTCCTTTTATCCCCCTTAAAGCTAACACGCTTTACGTTTGCGACGGTTAAAAATGTGAGTGACTTCCATTTTCTGATTTATTCTCCGTTAGACAAATTCAATTTCTAGTTTCCTCTGTAAAACCCAAGCAGTCAATGGTCAGAGCTCTTCTACCAAAAGAAAACTTGCCTAAGAACAAAGACAATTGATTTTTGTAGAAGTCACAAATTAAAGAGTCAATTTAGTTTCAGTTTTCATGTTTATAAATAGACATACTGCTTATTTAAGATAGTATTATTCAAAATATCTTTTCAATTTATCCTCAGTTTAGAACAATTGTGAAACAAAATCAACATGAGACTTATAATAACACCCTTTCTCCTCCTTCTTGTTCTTTCAATGATTGAAACAAATGAAGCTATAAGAATTCTTGATGAAACTAGTCATCTTTTACTATCATCTTTACAAACCTATCTCCCAATTAACACTCCATCACCTAATTCAGGAACCGGTGCCAATGTTAGTATGACAGCCAGAGTCACTGAAAGGATCTTGTTGGTCGTAAAAAAGCTACAAGAACGACTCTTGATGAAACTAGTCATCTTTTACTACCATTTTTGCAAACCCGACCCCCAGTTAAGACTCCATCACCCAATCCAGGAACCGGAGCCAGTGTTAGTATGGCATCCAAAGTCACTGAAAGGAACTTTGTTGGTCGTCAAAAAGCTACAAGAACTCTTGACAAAACTAGTCATCTTTTACTACCATCTTTGCAAACCCATCTCCTAGTTAAAACTCCATCACCCAATCCAAGAACCGGTGTCATTGTTAGTATGACAGCCAAAGTCACTGAAAGGAACTTTGTTGGTCGTGAAAAAGCTACAAGAACTCTTGAAGAAACTAGTCATCTTTTACTACGATCTTTGCAAACCCATCCCCCAATTAAGACTCCATCACCCAATCCAGGAACCGGTGCCAGAGTTAATATGGCAGCCAGAGTCACTGAAAAGAACTTTGTTGGTTGTAAAAAAGCTACAAGAACTCTTGATGAAACTAATCATCTTCTACTACCATCTTTGCAAACTCGTCCCCCAATTAAGACTCCAACACCCAATCCAGGAACCGGCGGCTAGGGTCAATATAGCAAGCAGGGTTACTAAAAGAAACTTTGTTGGTCGCAAATAAGTTACTTTTGCTCCTCCTCTTCAACTATAAGCGTTTGACAAGAAGAATTCTTTATTTGTAACAAATATTCAATTAATTCATATACTTAACATAGAATAAACCAATTAAGACTTACAATTTCGTGGTACTGTACTCTCACATTATAGATGTGGATTCAATTACATGAGTTTCTTTGTATATATGGTGTTTAAAGAAAACATTATTGATCAATCAATTGTCTTTGTTTCATGATATTTGACATGATAAAGCGCCTTTAATTTCTTCTGTGCAATGCCAGTGCTGCATAATATTTAGATGATATTTTCTAAACTCTAAAAAATATAATGCAAATTACTTACAAGCTAGATATTTATGATCAAACACAAATCCAACGCGTGAAAAATAACGCTTTGACTTGCATTTGTTGACGATATAACTAGTGTTCCTTAATTCTAAACCATGATCAAACTTTTCTATCACAAGACTAATATCAATCTATCCAATGGAGATGGGGAAAAAAGGATTCTCCTCGATTAATAATGACTAGAAATTAAACGAAACAAAGGAGAACTTTGAATTTTAAAACAAATTATAGAGAATTACTTCGACATTTGAAAGAAATTTGGGGAATATTATCCTCAAAAGATAGAGATTATAATAGGACACATCCACTTTGCCCCTAAAACGCCAAGCCGGGTAGGGAAAAAGAAGATGAAGAATTAACTTAAATAGCTGCCTACCAAGTGTTTAAAACTTAAAATAGCCAGCGAATATATAATATATGTATAATTGATGTATAATACGTATATAATCATTGTATAATTTATGTATAAAGCTAAAAAAAAGTAAACAATAAATTTGACTGGCTATTTATGTAAAGATCCCAAAGGAGATCTAGTGGAAATTAGACATTGCAGCTCTACTATTGAAATATGGTCCGGTATAAGTACTAGTATTAATAACATGGTTAATATGGTAAAAGATTATTTCTCGACTTGTTCATGTCAGCCTTGCGCAAAGGCCATGTTAATCGTCTCGATATCGTTCCAATTTTGTCGGATAGACCCATTATCATAAGTTAAAGAAAATATTTAGAGTGTCAGTAATAAGAATGAATGATTGAGTGCATAAAATAATCTTCACTCGTTTCTTTTCCTCCTTTCGTGCTTCTTGCTATGACTTTCTTGTTTATTTGAATCACCAAATTAGCGCGTATTTTATGGTTAAATCCTAATCAGTCGCTTCAGTTTTTCTCCTCCTCTCACGTATGAGTACATGACCCATTCAATTTGTCAAAATTTTCTTTGTATTAGCCAGAACAGTCAATAGTCAAAATCCTTAAAAAAAGTTCCAAGTCCTAGTAACATTTACCACGTTGTCTCAGGGGTATAAACAGTTTGTTACGAAGCCTCCTCATTTTCATTACGGAAAAGGACCAAAAATGCCCTTAACGGTGGTGGCTTCTACGAACCGATAGGTTAACGAATGACATATATAAGTTAAATCTACATAGGTTAGGGGCATTTTTGGCCTTTTACGTTTTCTTAAAACCATATTAATAACAAACCTTAGTAACACTTTTAAGCTTG